TTTAGTTTTTTGGTTGTTGTTTGTTTGTTTGTTTGTTTTCTTAAAGGAATCTCCTATTTGAGAATAAATTTTTAGGACTTTTTCTTAGGCACAGATAATAGTTAGGGATTATTTTTCTATTTATTCCTCCCCATTAGCAACAGGAAAAAGGAAATCAGTTTCACTTGCCAATCAAAATACCAAGTGTTTGTGCTTGTCATGGAGTGCACTGGGCAGAGACACAGCCACGTCATGGGGTTGGTGACACACAAACTCGGTGACCCAGAGCAGCATCTCAGCAAAAATTAAACAAGTGCTAAGTCCATTAATTAAGTGCCAGTGGCTAATGTACAGACTGTGATGGGGAACATTTGGTTGCTAGGACATGGAAGCCCATGGGAATAACAAGAGGATCAGTGCATATATTGCCCTTTTGGAAGAGAACCAGCTCTCCCCAGAGCAGGGCCAGGTCCTCCTGCGCTACATGGCCTGTACCCCAGACGATGCTCCCTACCTCCTAAACCGAGTACTGCACAGAGACATGAAAGGGGTCAGGTAAGAAAAGCTGCAAATACCTGTTCCTTTTCCTCTAAACTGCTTGGAATGTATGGGGCAGTGTTTGGGATGCTCTGGAAACTGAGAGAGACTGTTGTGGGATGATCCAATATCCCATACATGTCCTTATACTCCACATGGTCTGTTTAGAACTGCTTTGTTTGGGATTTCACTCCTCTCCCTGGGGAGATTAGCTCACAGTCTAATAAATCTCATCCTTTAGCAAATGTCTGTGGCATTGGGCCTACATTTCCTTCTTTAAAAATTAATTCCCTTATGCCAGTTTACATCCACAGGATATTTTTGAGAACAATGTCTTTCCTTCCCTAGTGTTTATGCTATAAACAGCTTTCATGCTTCTTCACTTGTCATTTCCAAAAGCCAGACATATTTGTCTCTTTAAACATTGCTGCCTCTAACCTAGTAAATGTAACTGCTGCTTGCTTCTGTAATCCTTTTCATTCCATTCATTAGCTGATGTTTTTAAATGTCCTAAGGATGAAAAGTGCCTCTGTATTACCACTGCCTTTGGGATGCAAGTGGTAAATGTGGTATTGCTGAGTGTGGTCAGGGTATGGAGCTCACACCTTCATTCTCTGATGCCAGAAAACAGGAAGAGACCAAAGCTGCAGTATTTACTGTTAGCTACAGGTTTTTTGCTCCTCCTGACAAACCTCGTCATAAATTTATATTTCAGCTTTGCAGCCATTGACCAGGGAAAGCCAATCTATGTTCCAAGAGTTCAGCACCATGGAAACATTCACTTCTGGAACTCTGACGACCCTGTGGAGGAGAAGAAAGGTTCACTTCTGGTGCTGCCTCTGTATGATGCTCATTGGAAAGTTTTTGGCATTCTAGGACTTGACACTCTTCGGGATCAGAGTCACAAATCCATCTTCCTGACACATGAGATCACTTTCTACGAGGTGAGCACCATCAGAACGTAGTTTGTTACTTCAGCTGCCAAAAAACTTGTGAATTTTACATGTTTGTTCTGAGTAAATGTAAGATGTGCAACTAAAAAAGTATCTGTGGGTCCCCTTCTGCAGTATATGGTGAAAGTGGTGTGAGGAGAGCACCTTATCAGTATCCTCCTGATTGGTATCTTATCTGAAATTTATTATGAGGTATCACTTCATCAATAATTTATTTAATCTTCTCCTGACTAGAATGTTAATTGACCTTTTGTGCAAAGTCCAAAGAAATCAGCTTTTATTTCTTGAAGCTTTCCATCTCATATTTCTGTTCATTTCCATTAAAAACTGTACTTTTTTACATGGTGGAATAATTAAAAGTGACAGCTGTCCGAATTTCTTTGGGATGCTCTTTGGGATCAGGCTCACTGTGGATGCATAATCTGGGCAGCAGGGAGCGCAGCAAGCCAACCTTACCGGTCCATTTGGCTATTTCCACTAAAAATCAGCTCTGTCTGTTTAAGGACTTGGCCGTGACCGGGTACTGAGTACTTCAGGGCATTATTTGATAAGGGACATTTCACAGCTACTTTTCTGCTTTACAAATTCTGATTAAAGCAATTTGTTACAACACGAATATTTCTCCAGGTTTTTTCTCCAAAATTGTGTGAAATTGTCTGGCTCACTTGGAGGATTCTGCTTTCACAGGGAGTTTGTCATGCATTCAGCAAAGCCTACCACCACATCTGCATGCGGGAAAATGTCCTACAAGTGGCTGTCACTGCTCTGGACTGGTTGTATCCCAGGACACCCAGCATCCATGCTGTCACAACCTATCTGGTGGCACCTGGCAAAGACAAGGTACTGCAGAGAAAAGGTCTGTAATCATCAGGGGCTGAAAGGCTGCTTTAAAGAGGAAGTGCCATCTCCAGCTGCCTGTGTTTTTCCAGTGGTTTTATCATTAAAGCTGAAGCCTGCACAAGATTCTTGTGCCTGCTGCAACAAAAGGTAGAGAGGCAAGACTCCCTCTGTAAAGGAGACCCCTCTTCAGTTTTTTCATCCTCCCATGTAAAAGAATTCAAGAGCATTGCTAGCATAACCCTTTCTCCATATGAAAAGGGAGTATTCTCCTACTTTAGTGCTCACTGCTGCAACCAATAGAGCAGAACCCCATACCCATCCATCCCATCATCTATCCATCCATAGCTTTGCTATCTGGGACTTCCACTAAGGGAAATGCTTCTCTTTGGAGATCCTCTGCATGTCAAAATTATGGTATTTAATAAGAGAATGTTACAGTTAATATATTAGCTCTTTGTTCTGAACTTATGTCAGCAGCCAAGATGTAAATACATCTCAGGAAGTGACTGGTTCACAATTAGCCAGCTTGCAAAGGCAGCCCTGCTCCATGCAGATCATTTCCAGTTGTGCAGCAGGCACTTGGGCCCTGGGAAGCTTGTCACTTCGTGTACTAGTGAGCTGAGAAGACAAAAACTATATGCAATATTTAGGACTGATCCCGTGTCATCCCAAAGTCTGTATGACATCTGCTGCAGTCATAATTCATCTGCTTCCTCTGATAAGCATGGTTTATGTTGGCAGTGTTCTGTTGTCATTCCAGGCTCAGCACTGTTCCCTTGTTAGCTGCTGATAGCCAGGTCAGTCACTCCCCTCTGTGCTTTCCATGTGTTAAGACACACTGACCACAAACATGACATGAGAAAGGACTGCAAGACGATGGAAAAAAGAGTGGAAACATCTAGGCCTGTGGGTGTTCCTCAGTGTAGAGTCTGGGGTGGATTAAATAGTCTGGCTGAGGGAGGTCCAGGGCACATTCTTCACCCATCTCTGCGAATAAAACATAGTGTTGGGAGATGTCTTTAAACAATCCCATTGCTCTTGAATGTACATGGGAGTTTCCTATAAGAAACCATTTCCTCCCCCTCCAAGCTTCAAAATATCTGTTTCTTTCTTGGATGCAGCTAAACCTTCATTTTCTCTCTGGCAGAACTATGTTCTGTGCAAGGTGATCACTACAGATAACACAGGACAAAAGGAAATCCACAGGTCTCCTATTGTTCTCTTCAGAGAGGAAAACCTCCTCAGGTAGGCTCCAGCACCTGCAATGGGACTGGTCCCCTCTGCTCCTGACTCAACCTGCATCAGGATGATCCACATTACATGAAACCCCTGGCAGAGCAGCCCTGGGAATGTCTGGCTGCAGCTTTCTCACTATCAAGGCTTCTGGTGTGTATGCACAGGGCACTGAACTGTGAAGGGCTGAGAAGTGTTTTCTCTTTGACTTTAGGCTGCAAAAACTTCTGATTTAATGCTTACCAGCTGAGCTGCCAAGGTTTGCAGGATTGCAGCCTACACAGAACCATTTTGCTCTTTAGAATAATCTGTATTTTTTCCTGGCCACATTAGTCTCATTTCCTTCAATTCTCTGTTTCCTTCCACTGCCAAGATCCTTACAGACTTGTCTTTAGGCATATCATCCTTGTTTTCAATGTTGCTTATTCCAGCAGCTGGTTTTACTTTTTATAAAACTGTCTAGAACAAAAGTCAATGCAGTTAGAAACAGTAAACTGCTTTTAAAGCAAGATTTGTTAAATTCTCATGATTTTCAGCAATCACCTTGACTAAGAAATATCATGTCCCAATGCTATTTTTTCCTTTGTGTATATGCCATGAATGATACTTAGAGCTTTGCAAACTTCAGTTCAAGGAAACAAGCTATGATTTAGTAATGTAATATTTTTATTTTAACAAGAGATGAATGGCACCTTAATTATGCTAAGTAAATCACCAAAACAAACCAGGATTGAAAACCCTAGCACATTTCATTTCAGAGATTACCTGTTCAAGTGCACAGACAGTTCAGAGGTCACTCTCACTTCTGTCTATGGAGAACACCATATTGCAGTACCTCTCCATGACCTATCAAGACAAACTCTCGGCATATTTGATATCAGCATTGGACAGCACAAGAAATTACCACCTGAGGAACAGAAAGACCTGCAGAAAATGCTAAAGATGGTCCAAGCTGCCTGCTCAGAGATCCTGCAGAGGTTTCTAGAGGAAAGGGAACCGACAAAATTGCTGGGTATTGTGCATACAGATGTGAGATGTTTTTTTGGGGTGAAAAACTATATTAGAAGTATCATTCCTACAAGTATGGAAAGACAAATACAAATCCTTGGTATATATAAACTACTCCCAAGCAAGTCTCAGAGTTTAGCAGAGTGGAGTTAAACAGAATGGGCAGATTTTGACTCTGGCTCACAGGGTACATCCTGCTGAAATCAAAGGTGTGAAGCAGACACCTTGTTGCCCTCAGGGATCTAGCACAAAGACTGTTAGTCAGTAATGTAAGTCCTGAGTAGCAGATGTTTCTGAGCAGCTTCTTGAGAGGTGTGGTTTTGATTGCAGAGGCAGAACGTGTGACAAATAGGAGGCATGCATGGATTCTGTTCCACCGGTTCATGCTGCAGGAGCTGCGTGAGTGTGTCCTGAAACTCGGTGCTGAGAGCTTTGCTAGAATAAAGAGCTGTGCAGAGCCCCCAGCTCTGGTACAGGATGTAGTTAAGGCTGTGCTGCTGCTTTTGCATCCAGACTGGAAGGACTCAGAGGAGACTGAGAGCTGGAGTCAGTGTAAACTGGTAAGAATTCAAATTGTTGAGTGTTTGTTTTCTATTCTTCCTCCTCTAAAAAGACACAGTGGGATCAGCCAAGGGGGTAATGGCAGTGAAATAATTAATTACCTATAGATTTCCTATATGTTTCTCATCTATCTTTAATTCTGTAAGATTTTCACAAACCCCTAATCTTTTTGTTCCCGCATTGCAGAAACTTGATGACAAATTGATTCAGGAGATTTATTGCTTTGATCCAACTGCTTCATCTGTGCAAGTTCAAGCAGAGCTTCTGCTGGACCTCATCACTGGTAAATATCATAAACTCACTGGGAGGTTACCAGGCATGGTTCAACAACAAAACTGTGTCAATGGCAATGTTCAGCTGCGTGTTTTTTACAGGCCTTACTTCAGAAATTAACTTTGATTTCACATTAGATTAAACAACAGCTAATGGGTCCTAAATATCAGCAATCTTTTTTGGTCAATAGAAATGAACCTGTTAAATTTAGACTCAGAATTCACTACCTTCAGGAAAGGGGGAGCAGATCAGCTTTGAAACCTTCCAGAACAAGTGATCTCATTGTAAACCTCCTGATAAGCATGAAGAATGAGGGTTCTTTTGGCAAGTAATATGTAAAGGCATATGAAGAATGATGATTCTTTTGGCAAGCAAGTCTGCTTCAGACCCCTGTGCCCTGCCCTAGGGACTGACCCATCCCCAAACAGGAATACACAGTGTGAGCCCTCCTCTTCATAAACACCATCTGCCAAGTGCTCAATGTACTCACAGGCCATAGACAGGAGCTCTTTGTCAGTCTGTCCGTGAGTATTTTTTTGTGACACAGCAGTCAAGAGGCTGTTATTATTATTTGCAATATCTTTGTAAGAGAAATTACTTGCTCTTGTTGAGATCTCTCTCTTTATGATCTAATACCAGTCTGAGAGGCCTGTTAAAAGCCAAACGTGGACAAGAGTTATTACTTTAGCTGGGGATATTTATCAACAGTACCCTGCCTGCTGATAAAGAGAAAACACTTGAGGCAGTGATAGTTCCTTTTTATGTGTTCTCCTCATATATATTAAACTAATTCACTGGAAAGAACAAAACAGGCCTAAAGCATCCAGTTTTCCAACAGTTAGGGATACTGATGTAATTAATTAAAGAATGTAGCTTTAGAAACTGCAGATGTGCTAGGAGAGGTTGTTTTCCCAGGATGGAACCTATTCTGAGGGAGCAGTGTCACATCAGGGGTATGAATGCAGGTATAACCCACAGTTACGGGAATTCCTTTAAAATGAACATCAGGTAATGTCCATACATTCCAAATAGAAGTGCTGGTTTAGCATTAAAATATAGCAGAGCACTTTGTACAACAGTCCACCCACCACAAAATAAGTTAAATTATAGTGGAAAGTCAGCACCTGACAGGTCACTGTCACAATATAGCTTTGTGCTTTTCAAACCATCACCCTTCCTGGAATTACTGGATTCAGGGTAAACTCTGCTGAGGGGATGATCTTCTGTTCTTGTGGCAACACTGCTCATGGTTTTGACTTTCCCTCTTTCCCGGTTTTATTTTCAGCTGTTTTTTTTTTTTTTTTTTTTTTTTGGGTTTTTTTTTGTTCCAGATGTCCCTCAAGCAGCAGTGTGGCAGCAGGACTCTGCTCCAGCCCAATACCTGTACCAGTGGCTTCACACCTGCCTGGCACTCGCAGAGATCACAAAAAGCCAACAGACTGGAAAAAAACATCTTTAGCCCCTTTTGGCATCCAGTTCTAGTGTGCCTCCAATAAAATCTCTTAATTTCTCATATAACCGTTGTGATTCTGGTGTTTCACATCTTTTATTAAATTAACTGTTGATTTTCTCTTTTTTATTCATAGGCACTAGTATTTGTTGTTAAGATGGCTTACATCTATTAGGGATTTTTAGTTAAGATGATAGGGAGTCTGTTAAGGATTACCAAGAAAAAGCAATGGAAACATTAAAGGGAAGAATTTTGCCAGTATAGGTACTGAATTTTAAAGGCTTAATGAAAGTTTTATGGGTTTTTTAAATTAATTCTGATGGGAAAACAAGAGGCAGGGACATCTTTATGACTCCCAAGCTACAAGGCTCATAAATGATACAGCATTAATTTTCAAGGTTCTGTATCCTTAAAGGACCTTTTAGGAATAATTTTAAATAAAGGCTGTTAATCAGCATTTTGTAACGTTCTTCTGGACACGTTGCAGAAAAGCCCAACGCTATTAATAAAACACAAAAAGGTTTTTTTATTGGGATAAAGCTTGAGATTACAGCAACTGCACTGCCTACAGTGAGATTTAATCTTTCCAATAACGTCCCTTTCGGCAGAAACACTTTTTTAATAACATTTTGGGAAATTAAAACTCCTCTTTCAGTCTTTAGTGCGAAACAAGAGACAGGCCGGTGATGGGGGCGAGGTACCAGCGTGTCTCAGCCTCGCCCCCGGGAGCGTCTCGGGGCTTTTCCCCCTCAGGGCTCTCCCTCCTCAGGGACCTTTCCCGCCGCTGCCCTGAGGCGCCCCCGGCTCCGCGCGCCGCTGCCCTCAGCGAGCGCCCGCCATCTTCCCTCCCTCATCAGCACTTTCGCCCCTCGACAACGAGCTGTTAAAAAATCCCCCGCCGCCTCCAGCCCCCTCCGCCCGGTCTCCTCTTTCCCCCCGGAGCGGGACCGCGGCACGGTGCCGTGAGGGTCGGTGAAAATTGCGTGGGGAGGACTCGGCCGCGAGGAATCCGCGGCCGCGGAACGGCAGCGGCTGCGCGGGGAGGCGGCCGGACAAGATGGCGGCGCTGGGCAAGCAGTGAGTGCCGGCAGGGCCGGGGCGGGCGGGCCCCGCCGGGCCGGGGGCAGCGCTCGGGGGGATTTGGGGCCGGCGCTGAGGGCAGGGGCGAGCGCCGGAAAACTCCTGCCCAGGGGCTCGCTTGTCGCAGGTGTCCGCCGCACGGCCTCGCTGTGTTGGCCTGACTTTAACACAGTGTTTATTAAAAAACAAGCAGAACTCAAAACAGCGGGCAGGCGCTTAAGTGTGCGGTGGTGTTGCCCAGGCGTGTTTTTCACTCTTAGGGAGGAGAATCTCCTCAATGTTCCCTCACACCTCCCACCCTCGGGCACTGGCCCCGGCAGCCGCGGCTCCTGCTCGGCCTCCCGGCCGGGTCGGACGGGGCCGAGGGCGGGTGCAG